GAGGTGACAATGGCACATACAAAGTTTGGTGTCAATATGTCAAATATTTGCAGAGATACAGCCTCAGATGCAGTTTGGCTATATGCCTAAAATTTGTAGTGGCACTGTACAAAAACGGTTTCGTTTATCGACACGAAATCCATAACTCTTTGTCAGCACAGTCTGAAGATCATCTGACTCGATTTTGGTGAAATTTGGACCAACAAGTGGCGAGGAGTTAAAAAAAGTAGGTTTTCAATATAAATCAAAATGGCGGACAGGAAGTTCAGTTTACTCTGGCATATTTGATATCTATGTTGTAGGCATAAGCAATAGGCTAATGCAATCAAAAGTTATTAGCATTTTTATGAATGTAATTATTAATGGTTAATGAATGGTTTATTACTCTTGACCAATAGGTGGCGCTGTTACCAAATTGATGTGATGGGGTCAGTGTGAGGTGACAATGGCACATACAAAGTTTGGTGCAAATGTCAAAGTTTCGCAGCGATACAGCCTCAGATGCATTTTGGCATCTTTCCAGCAAATTCGTTGATGTGCTAAACGATAACCGTTTCGTATATCGACACAAAATCCATAACTTTTTGCCAGCCTGGTCTGAAGATGATCCGAGTCAAATTTGGTGAAAATTGGACTAACGGTCTAGGAGGAGTTCGAAAAAGTATGTTTTCAACATGAATCAAAATGGCGGACAGGAAGTTCAGCCAATTATGGCAAAATTGGTATCGATGTTCTCAGCATGACTAAATTGCTTTATAACTTTTGACCACAAGGTGGCGCTGCGCCCAAACTTTTTGAGTACCATCAGGGCATGGTGCCGAAGATGCATACCGATTTTCATAATAACAAAGTCTAAGCGTTCCTAAAATATAGCATTTTTTGACAAAATTCAAAATGGCTGATGCCCAAAATGGCAGACATGGAAAAATTTGGTATGGTTTGACTCGGCATGCTCCACCGAATCTAAAGAGACCAGTTTTGTTATTTTTAGCCAAACTATTCATAAGTTATAAGCAAAAATATGCATTTTTTTATATCTCCTGACCACTAGGGCGCACTGTGCCGAAACACTGCAGGTAGTCTCAGGTCATGCTTGTTATAACACACACCAAGTTTGGTCTCAATACGCCAAACCGTTGCGGAGATATAGCCTCACATCCATTTTTACGTGCTTTTTGTAGAATTCCTTCGTGCATTATTCGAGAACAGTTGGACAAATCAACTTGAATTCCATAACTTTTTGCCAGCATGGACTGAAGATGATCTGGGCCAATTTGGGTGAAAATCAGACAAACCGTCTAGGACGAGTTCGAAAAAGTAGGTTTTACGAACAATTAAAAATAGCGAATAAACTAAACCTTGCAATTTTTTAATTTTGGTGTTCATTCGACTCGGCATGAATGAAGGATTCAGAGGAAAAAAATAATTTTCCTTTTGTGACTTATGGTTCACAAGTTATTAGCATAAAGAAATTTAAAATTTGGACAAGTGGTGGCGCTAGAGAGTTGGAGTTAGAGACTCCAAACTTGCTGTGGTTAATGTTGAGACTGTCCTCTATCAGTGTGCCAAATTTCACAACTTTCCCGCAAGCGGTTCTATGGGCTGCCATAGACTTGCGGCAGAAGAAGAAGCAGAATAATAACGCCAACAAATACAATAGGTGCCATCGCACCTTCGGTGCTTGGCCCCTAATAATATCATTTTTCAGTATCTAACCAGTGAAATATCCAGCGATTTGTTGCCAACAAAAAGTTGTTCTTGTTTACATTTTGGATAGTCTTCCATGGTATCCTGAACACCTTTTTGGTGACCGTTTGAAGGTGGTTAGTATAAAAGCAAGGCTTAGCAGAGAGTTAGTTTTACAAACCATAAATACACAAAACTACTTTTCAAGACAGATATCTCTGAAAATAATGATAACTTGCAGTTCAGGTCAGTTAGTGATTTCATTCATTTAAATAGTCAGACTGATTCAGACAGATAAACTACAATAATAATTTTATTACTAATAACAATAATGAGTTTAAAATAATGTCTTATAAAAAGTGGCTCTGAGTTATACGTGTCAGTGTGTATATAACATTTTTAATCACACATCCAGTTGCAATGAACTTTGATTCCTTTAAACTGTTAATTGTATTTTTAATTATCTTAATGTTCTTCTATCTCCCATCTAATTTTTCAGGTTCTACAAATGAACATATCTGTTGCATCTGGACTCAGATATAACATGT